ACAGTACTAATAATTAAGGATAAAATAGTGTCCAGCCTCCATAAATATCAGTCTCTGGTTTTATTGGTGAATTACTTGCTATGCCTTTATATTAGTAAGCTTACAGATGCTGATTTCTATGAGGTTACTCATGTAGAAAGTTTCAAACTGGATTTGGTTTCCCTCTGACCCACTTTTTGTGCAAGCAAGATCACTACGGCTTATCATTCATTTGCCCCATTTTCCTTGATGAAAGAGTGAGTAGTCTGTAAGACCACGCTACTTAAAAGTTCAGTTTCTGGCCCTTGAAAATACTAAACAGTAATTACTTGGCCTTAAAGACTTCTACAAATAGATGTAGGTTTCCAGATTCATTACAATCTATTGTGTCATTGCAGCTGAAATTAAAAAAGTGTCATTCTGAGAAGAGAGAGGTGTCCAGGCATCATCCCAATCATTCTAATCAGATTGCAATCCTTTGACCAGTTCTATGCTGATTATTAAATTAATTAAGAAGCACACAGGGGTCATGTAGGGCATGGCTCATTTGTTTTCAACAGGTTATCTGACTTTTAGTTTGTGATTTTAATTCATTTGCCCCTCAGGCTCATTATCTCACTACTGGTTGCCAGACCACCTTCTGCTTTGCCACTTGGATGATCCCATTAGGGGTTGTGATCCCTGTTTTGAGAACAACTGCCTTAATGTCTGCACATAATAATTTTTTAAGTGATCTTTGATTAAAAGAAACCACAAATGTTTACCTTTTTGGTTTACCGAGTCAGACAGAAACACATTTGGCACTCTAGGTACTTCTTGAGCCATCAAGCATGCTGTAGATGGGCCCCTTGTCTTCAAAATCTTAAAGACTACAATAAATGTTCAGTATGTTTGCATAAGAAAGCACCCACAGTTCAGTTTCCTTGTAGTTTCCAGCAGCTTCGTAACAATTATTCTATTGCATCATTTGTCTCTTTTTAGTGTATGGACTGTGATTTTTTTCTGTCAGTGAATAGTTCCTTTATCTTAATCACATAGCGGTTTAAGAGGCATAAGTATTTGCGGCCACCTTACTCCAGGCAAGCCTTAGCACATATTTGCTGTTCTGACCTGGCATTCTGTTAGTGCCTCTCTGAAGTAGGATTATTTAAAATTAATACAGTTCTATAACCAAGTCATATTAGTATTACTTTCATATTTTAAAGCTTTCTGTGGTTTTCTATGCCCATCCATGATGCTTTATTTTGGATGATAATTGTTCCTTTTTATTCTCTGTGAAAAGTAACAAAGTTATTACTGAAACTTCTAGATCAAGATTTCATCACTGCAACCTTCGCAAACTTCTAAATTTGCACTCCCATATTAGGAAATGCTGTTTATTTTTCCTTTTGTGTGTGTTGACTACTTTTTGTAATTCAGTCATAAGACATTATTATTTTAAAAAGGAGAAAAGCAGTAAATAGAGGAAATATGTATTTTTTTAAAATACATTACTATCATATTTAAGTATAAAACCATTAACTACCTAGGATATATTTAAAGATAATGTGTGTGTTTGTGAGATCAAGGCCCAAGTTCAGTATTATTCCATTGCTCAGAACACAGATCAAGAAATAACTACCACATGCAGCTGAGGTTCCCTCCCACATCTTGTAGTTTGAATGACATAAACCAATGCTTCTAACATTAATATATTTCCAGCCCTGCATGGATGCAATGTCTTCACATTACCTTTTGCATTCTTTGGTTTCTTAGCAATTAACACCCCTTTTAGGTAAAACTTTGTTTATTTAAGAATAACTTGGCTTCTTTTTATAGCTTTTCCTCCTAATATTGAGCATTGGCTGTTCTGCATTACACCCTACTAGACTAATTACTATTAAAAAAAATTCTTATTCTTATACTTAATAATACCATACTAGTCATTGCTATTTTCAAGGTAAAGTACTCATGAAATCAAAACAGTTGGAATTTTACTAACACCATCATCAACATATGCCTGTTATATCTTCCATAAAAACTGGATTCTTCTCCCTATTTTTAATTCACTTTGCTTATCAGCTATTTCCTTCAACTCATCTGAAAATCCCTCAAAAGCTAACTCTACAAGTTCAGACTCTGGAATTTTGAATATGTAAACCATTTCTAACATTGTGTAAGTGTTTTAGAAAAGAACTGCCTTTAAAAATATTTTCATAGGCGAAATCTAAATCAACAATATTTTCAGGATGCAAATTTGAGCTGTTATGAAGTGGATCCAATCTTTGTATCAGTATCAGTAATTTGGTATTCCATGCATGATGTTTATGTGAGAAATAACTATTTGTGTACAAGCAGGGAACATGAACTCATTTTGAGTAAATGGAAGGTACAAAGCAGGTAATTTATAAAGCACATTAAATCCTTTTCCTTTAATTTTCCTGATTAGCTTCTTGGAGTATCAAATATTTATAGAAATACTTGATATCTTTTTCTAAATACCACATAAACACTGCATTTAAGAAATGAAAATGAAGATTTATACTTTTTTCTTACGGCTTCACATCTCCTCCAATACTGTCAAAAATGTAGCCCTAGGTTTCAAAAAGCATTCAACTTCCATTTCCGTAACAGAAAAAAAACCCTATTTATCTCAAAAAATATTTATTTTAACAAGCTTACTTTTCTAATGAAGAATCTTGAAGAGTGCCCCCATGTTCTTTTATAACAACATATCATCACACCCACTTAATCATATAACCCTTCTAAATGTAAAATAATTTCACCTCAGTATTACTATGGCCACATGTCTCAATAAATTCCTCATCCCTTCTATTTTATCCCTGGTTTTGAATTAGTAAACGTGTATATCAACCATGCATGTCTGGTAGTGATGATATAAACCTGACAGCTAGAAGGAAGCTCTGTGAAGTTAGCTGTCATCACTCTTTTCCTGAAATAAACTATAGCTTTCAGGGACTTCTGGAAAGCGAATACTGACAGAAGTTATTGTGACAATAGGCTGAGTATCCTGCATTACAACAGCAGGTGCTTTTTGTGCTTCCACTTCCTCTGGTCACCCCATCATGCCTGTATGAAATTCACTTTTCCATCTTCAAGCACAGAATTCACCTATGGACTCACCTATTAGCTAATGGGTTGTACTAAAAGTAAAGTATCTTGATGACTCTCAAATCACGCTTAGGAATAAAAAAAAAACCAAACAAAAAAACCCCACGAAACTGTTTTAAAGATGTCTTTTCACTATAAAAAATTGCTTTTGTTCACAGTGCCTGCCTGTCATTCTCACCCAGACCAGCAATAAAGTTTGGGTTACGTCATTTCTAGATTCATATGTCAAGTCGTTCCATAGGTCTTCACCTAGAAACAATTATGTTCTTTGTAGAACATTGGAGCCAAAAGAAAACTTGATACATACATCACATATATACACATGATCTGTATAACCTATTTGTTAGTCATCTGTCAAAAGACTGACAAACAGGACTATATCCCCATCTTTGTGAACAGGACATGTTTTAAAGCCATTTTAAAACAAGATGGCTAGAGGTAGTTTATGTTACCAAGCATTTTATTCTATACAGTACTTCTCCTATAGTAATAAATGGTGACCCTTTCTGCAGTGATCTTATATAATCATTCTAACTTTTTATTTTCAAAAAATGAAGGCAGCATTCTGCTGCAGTTCTCTTACCACCAAGGGTAAAGAATTTCCATTCAGATCTCATATTGTTGTTATACATTCCTGTTATTGATAAAATGTTTTGGTGCCATGGTCACAAATATCCCCTGAAGATTACAACAGTTTTTTCCCAGTCAGCTTTACTAACTGTTGTTATTCATATATGTATAATTGATCCATTTGCATATAAAATCATACATACACCCTATGAAGTTTAAAAGGAAAAAACTGTACTTATACTAAAGCACTATGTGCTATGTTGCTTTTTACTGTGATAAGGTGCCTTTTAGAGCTACATTTCCACAGTTATTCAAACGATTTTTACCAAAGGAAGACAGAATTCACCCTGGAAAAAAAAATGGGTTTGATAGTACCAGAAAGAAGATTGAAAACAGTTGTATGCCCTTGTATGTTATACAAACAAGAGACAAACTAATGTCATATAATAGCATTATTCATATTCTGTTGGCATCAATAGTCTGTAAAAGCATAAACTGATAGGTGCTGATACTCATAGCTCTGAATAAAGCCATAGAATTTAGAAGGAAAAATCAAGACTTTGGTATACCAGAAAAAGATATATAACTATAGCCATGTTTAATCAATACATATAAACCCAAACATCTAACTCAATCTAAAAACAAAAACAAAATAATCAGTTGAGATGACATTTATTCTTCTTTATTAAAATTTCCATTGAATATCTAACTTCCTTCTTCCTTCACTGTTGACCAAGTTAAGAAGCTGCAAAGACTATATTCGCACTGGAGGCAAGGCAGCCCACTTTTCTGGTCAGCAGACCATGTTTCCCAGACAAAATTGTTTATTTTAAATAGCTTTTGTGAATACAAAGGATGCTGGAGTGCTAACCCTTTTTGCCTCCAGCTGAGGCAATTTGCTGCTATTGCAGACATGGACACTGTTTCAACACCTGTATGCCATTCCCTTTCTGTCACCTAAATACCAAACAGTGTTTTGATGAGAAACGTAAAATTCTGCAGAACCCCTGATCAAATGCACTTTTGCTATTTTTTACTTTTTTAATGCTGCAAAAAGCAAGTTTCAAAGCAGTAAAGCAAAAAGAAAAAGGGCCCTGACATTTTCACGTGCTTCTAAGAAAATGTTTACCATTTATTCGTCTCTAATCAAAATGCTTACATTTTTGCCTATAACTACAAGCTCTTCTGAATTTTGAACAAGAACAGGCAAGAATCTTCCCAAAAATTCTTTTTCATTTCGTATTTATTTCCCTTTGATTGTTTTAAATGAAGATTCTATCATTGATCATATAAATCACAAAAGAAGATAATTTGCACGTAAAAAAAAAAGAATTACATACCTTATATTGGATAAGGAGACCATAAACCAAAATATTTTTCTTTTTCACTTCCCTTGCAAATTTCTTGATCCTAGCTAGTTCTTCCATCCCAATGCTGAAAGAAATATTTTCTGAAACATCCAAGTGCACCTGCAAAGGAACAAATAAGAAAAAAACAAAATAAAACAAAAAAATCCACTTTTTCCATAGTGTGTTATTTTAGGCTGCCTGTTTTTAGTATCTCAATTTTATGTGTTAAGCACACAAAAACACAGGCTGGCAGTGGTTTTTCTTAGTCAGCTTCTACTGCTGTTGAATTCCACTATGCATATAGTTGGTGACATGAAAATTATTTCTTTTCAAAGCACAGTGAAACCAATACACCAGAACACATCAGAACACAACGTTCTAACTGCGTATTGAAAATATTTAATCAAATCAGAAAACAAACAACATTCTTTTCTAAGCTCTAATCTATCTTTCACAGCTTTTTTTGTTACTATCATGATACTAGAGACACATACAGGTGTTTTTCCTAAGCATCTTAAAGGTTTTCATGATGGAACTGCATTCTTTAACGATTTATTTTGAATTTACTACCTTTTCAGTATAGCATATAGTTGCCTAAAATGGATTAATTTCAAGGTAATGCTTCAAGTTTAAAAAGCAGGAACTACTTCATATGAAGGTAGGGATATGGCTGTCCTGAGCTCTTGGGTAGGGAAGGGCAGGTCTCATATCCAGCAGGGATGCTGCACAAACATGGTGGGTCTTACAGGGCCTGAACTGGTACCTCCAGGGAGGCATCAACTAGCTCAACCCTTTCCCAAGGTTTACGTGTTCCACAGTTTAATCAGTTTACTTTACAGAATTTCTATTAACTGTAATCAAAAATAAGAATGATGATTTGTACACGTCAAGTTTCAGCCTCTATTAATAGCAGAAATACCTTTTCCCTTAAAAGAAAGAGAACGTATTTTTCTGGCTGAATGATTCCACTGATATAAAACTTACCTGTAAGTACTACAGAGAGGTAAGCTTATAGAGGTAGCCACAGAGATCTGAGCTTGGGAAAATTATTTCAATTTCTCTTTGTACATCATGTTCAACTTATCCTGACAGATAGTAGGTTTTTACTCATTTTCCCTTGCAACACGTTTTAAAAAGCTGTTTACTGTCTAAGTGCATATCCACCAGGAGCAAAGCTATAGTCTTTGACTGCACAGGCAGAGATTAACTTTCAAACACTCATTATTTTGTTACTTTTTACCCAAAACAAGGCTAAGTACTGCTCATTTACAGCTACATACAAGAATTTTAAAACCTATTATTTTGAGAAAACACAACCTAACACCTATTTACCATTATCCTGTTTCACAGCTTTAAAAAGCAATTTTTCTCAAGATTACTTTTGTAGTGAAATGCAAATACTGGCAACTACAGAGCTGAAGTACTAGCATTCTTTTTTTTCCATCCCTAAGTAATATCAACAAAATAAAAATCATATCCGTTCATAGCATCTACAGACGTGAACATGTACTACTCAGAAATGTAAAGTCAGTTTAAGAATATGATTCTTCTGATTATAGCAGAGTTGGACGGGATACTGGTTTCATGCAGACAAATAACTGCACAAAGTTTATCTCTGTGCTTCCTATTTCTCCTGTTAATCTCCTCTTTTTTGCTATGTCCATATACAGTAGTCCAATTGCTGGTTCAGCTTAAAGATGCCACAAAAAACTCTAGTCAGGCACCAGGATAAAGGACAGACTTTGCTATCTGTGGCAATTTATAGGAGGGAATACGGACAGAAGGCATCATGTCCAGTGCAAGCTCATGCTTTTGCAGGGATAATTCTCCCCAGGCTGGTTAAATAGACAGTCTGGCACAATAACGCTACCTGTCATTTTTGTGAGCAAAGAAGCTGAGCATTGGAAGGAGAAATCAAACTGATTTTCTCAATGTTCAGATTGTTATGAAAGAGTTACATGTGTCCTGAAATCAAAGAATAAACAAGAACTTGCCAATTATACAGAAGTCTACATTAGGCTGCTCCTGATTATGAGGTTAGGATGGAAGCACTTAGCTGCTTTCCTCATTTATCCTTTCAATTCTTCACTACCAGGAACAGTTTTACTTTTGAGAGCAGAAAAGACTACTGTTTCCCGTACAGCTAGTACCTAAACCCTATGAATTTAAATGTCATCATTTTGCTTAAAATTCTGAGTCACATATGCCTGAGAAATCTTAATGTGCCCTTTTTCATCAAAAGAAAGTGTCCTACAGGACTTTTCGCTAACAACGCATTCAGGTTTTATGTTAAATGAAGTATATAGCAAAGAATAAAGCTGAAGAGAATCTCACTCATAAGCCTGAGTGAAGAGGATACCCAACACTGAATTTAATTAAAGACTGCTGAAGGAAGATTCTATCCCCCAGCCATACCATCTGCAATGAGTTTTAGGGATCGGAAGTTTAAAGGACTTAAATAGTTCCCTGTGATTAATTGGAGACAATGATTTGTTTAGCTAATTCTTTAGTAATTTAAAACATACTTTTCAGTCCTCCTATTTTTACCTTCTTTTATTTCTAAAAGATAGCACGGTAGCTCCATAAAATTTGAATGTGTAGCACAAAATGCTTTTTTATAGTTAGGTTACTTCATTTTTTCTAAAGATACTTTTAACAAATATATGTGTATCTGTTTTAAATGTTAGCAACCGCTCTAATCCAGTTACAAGACTTTTCTCGCACTGTCCAGTTTTGGGAAAGGTAGTTGTCAGGAACAACTGATGGATCTGGAGTACAGTAAAGTGATTAAATGTATCATTTTCTCCTGCGGCTATTTTAGAAGTCATCCACCTAAATAATTTGTGCATGCTGCAGGCTGCTCGAGCAAGTACACTTTCATTAAAAATAGTGATGGATTCTACAATGACTTCAAGATCTAGTATATTGAAGGCAAAATCCTAGTGAGGGGTTTGGTTTCATGGTGAGCTTGTGTAAGCATTATTTGCATTCATACCTATTTCTCAGGAAGTATGAAGTCCAGAATATTTATAGCTACAATAATTAAAACAAAGCTCTCGCATTCCATGTGTCACAGTTAAAAAGCGCTTAATTCAAAGTCCAGGGTAGAGATTAGCTATGAATTGGGCACAAAATAAGCATTCTTTTAACACCGTTAACACCAACTTCACCTGCACACCCCCAAAATTTAAGACAGACAGAAATGTTTTTTTATATTCTTGATAAAGGACTAATGAAAACATTCTCAGTCCAGAAAAGAACATTCTGCACATCCAGTAGCTTTGTGAATGGGCAACAGAATTGAAGGTGTGTCATTTGCGCAGACTATCTGTATTGGGTTTGTGTGGCAAGGTCTTGGTAGCGGGGGGTGGCTTCTGTGAGACGCTGCTAGAAGTTTTCCTTGTGTCCGCTGCTGGCCAAGGCCAAACCAATCAGTGATGGTGGAAGCGCCTCTGTGATAACATATTTAAGAAGGAAAAAAACCTGCTGCAGCTCAGTAGCCAGAGAGAGAAGTGAGATGATGCAAGAGAAAACAGCCCTGCAGACACCAAGGTCAGTGAAGAAGGAGGGGGAGGAGGTGCTCCAGGCGCCAGAGCAGAGATTCCCCTGCAGCCCATGGTGAAGACCATGGTGAGGCAGGCTGTCTCCCTGCAGCCCATGGAGTTCCACAGTGGAGCAGATACCCACCTGTAGCCTGTGGAGGACCCCATGCCAGAGCAGGTGGATGCCCAAAGGAAGGAGGCTGTGACCCCAAGGGAAGCCTGAGCCAGATCAGGTTCCTGACAAGACTTTGCAGACCCATGGGGGGAAGAGCCCACACCAAAGCAGGTTTGCCAGCAGAACTTGTAACCCCACATGGGACCCACGCTGGAGCAGTCTGCTCCTGAGGGACTGCACCCTGTGGAAATTATGGACCCATGCTGGAGCAGTTTGTGAAGAACTGTAGCCTGTGGGAAGGACTCATGTTGGAGAAGTTCGTGGACAACTGTCTCCCGTGAGAGAGACCCCACACGTGAGCAGGGGAAGGGTCTTCGTCTAGGAAGAAGAAGCGGCAGAGACAACGTGTGATGAACTGACCCCAATCCCCATTCCCATCCCCCTGCACCACTGGGGGGGAGTAGGTAGAGAAACTGGGAGTGAAGTTGAGCCCAGGACGAAAGGAGGGGCGGGGGAAAGGTGAGATTTAGCAGTTTTTATCCTCTCCCTCTCTGATTTTGATTGATAATAAATTAAATTAATTTTATCAAGTCGAGTCAGTTTTGCCCGTGATGATAACTGATAAATGATCTCTCCCTGTCCTTATCTCGACCCACGAGCCTTTTGATTTACTTTTCTCTCCTCTGTCTGGTTAAAGAGGGGAGTGATAGAGCGGCTTTGGTGGGCCCCTGGCATCCAACCAGGGTCAAACCACCACAATATCAAAAGCAGAAACAATTCATCGTTGAAAATTCAGTAAAATTAAAACTTTACCCTGAATTTCCTCAGAAACAGGGCCAAGAAAAAAGGATGGTCTATAAATAAAGTGCTCAGTACTGATGTTCATAGAATCACAGTAGCTCACTCCAAGACAACAGCATACAATAGGTAAGGATATCACTTTTTTTCATTTGTAGAAGTAATTGATTTTCATGATCTCACTTATTTGTTACATCAGTAATGAAATTTCAACACTTGAATTTCAGATTAAGCATAAAATCGTGAAGTAAATGCTCAGTTTTACCTCAAGATCACTACAAGATGCACTTCAGAAACTACTCAGGCCCCATGTAAAATAACTATTTATTCCTTTTTCAAGAGCTTCATAGGTACTCAACACCTTTTTTGCCTCGGTCTTCACTGGCAGCCTCTTTCCTCACCCCTCCCGAGTTGATGGATGGCATGAGGGGGACCAGGAGGGCAAAACCCCTCCTGCAGTAGGAGAAGATCGGGTTTGTGACCTCCTGCGGAACCTGAATGCACATAAGTCCATGGGCCCTGATGAGATGCATCCCAGAGTCCTGAGGGAATTGGCCGATGTAGTCGCCAAGCCCCTCTCCATGATATTTGAAAAGTCATGGCAGTCAGGTGAAGTCCCTGGTGACTGGAAAAAGGGAAACATTGTACCCATTTTCAAAAAGGGTAGAAAGGAAGACCCTGGGAACTACCGACCTGTCAGCCTCACCTCTGTGCCTGGGAAGATCATGGAACAGATCCTCTTAGAAGCTATGCTAAGGCACATGGAGGCCAGGGAGGTAATTCGAGATAGCCAGCATGG